AGCCTCGAGGGCTATATGCCTAAGGGGAGGGTTTTCTAAGGGAAACTGGCTCGTATACACGTTACACATGGGGAAAACCATGAAAACGCCCATGCAGCCAGCCCATTCGCGGGATTCGAACCTCGGACCGAATTACCAGTGTTCAGCGACTTTACCGCTCGGCTGCTGGTGGGCGAATTCAACATAAGACACTGCATAGAAATGATTGAAGGCCCATGGGAATAAGTGAATTCATCAACCATGAATGTTTTCTGGCTTCTGCTCTGGCCAATGAACAATTTTAAAGGATTTCCATCGAGTGAAAATGAAGCCAAGGAAATCATACAAACTGCAAAAGGAATATTCATATATGGAAGTAGGAGAAATAGAAAAATTAGTCAAGAATGATAGTTCTGAAATAACAAATTAAGAACTGAATGATCTTATAACAGCAGCTGAACTGTGAAAGCAGCAATAGAGGGGAAGATGAAATGCTTTTAATGTACAAGAAGTTAAACAAATTGTTAAAAAAGACACAGGAAATGTCCGATTTTGGAATACAGATTGACCGAAGTGAAGAAAGAAAAAACACTTTGAGAGGAATTCAAAAACTGCACTCCTTACCACAATATATTTAATAAGTTGCATCAAGTATTGTCCCAAACAAAAATCAGCAGCTATTTAAAAAAATAATTGTAATCATGTACCTACTTATTAAGCAGTATAGAAAAATTATTTCAATTACCATTTGTTTAATCTTTGCCTTTTAATTACAATAATATTAAGGTTTGTATTAAGTATTCATGCTTTCTTAATCTGAAATATACCTAACCCATTTTTTTCCCATAAAAAGTTGGTCTTTGCGGAATGTAATTTTGCTGTATGTGCAGTGTGTTAATGACATAACCCCTGTCTTTGGCAAAGCTTTAAAGTATACATATACAATGAACCCTCTGGAAAATTACCACCCATGGTCCCAGATATTTTTTCTTCTGTGTAGGTAGTTAGTTGTCTGAAAGAAATAATGTTAAATATAGATATTGCCCTCAGAAATATTCAAAAAATCATTTTTCAGGATTAATTTGGATTGATCAGATAATGATAAAGCACATTAGGACTATCTGATAAAGGACAGAGATATAATCATGGGGGCCTCTTAAGGGAAGCTGGTTGTATTCATATTACACATTTCGAAAATTACATGAACAACTGTGCAGTTAGCAATTTTGCAGGGATTTGAACTGGATCAAACTACCAGTGGCTGCTTGGATTTATAAATAGAGAAAAGTTCTTACTGTTGAGTGATAACTACCACCTACGTGCCTCTTGAAACACATAACAAAAAATCAGGATACTTGTTTTGCATGTTCTAGTTCATCTGCCTTACATCTTAGACACAATAACATTGCATTAAAAATATTTCAGTACTTCTAACATTTCTTAGCTGTGAAATATTTTGAAACATGTTAAACAGTATATTGAACAATATTTGGCTTCTAAGTCACCTATAAGCTGATTTCCAGATGAGAAAATGTGAGAATGATAGCGATTACATAAGTGATCCATTGTTGGTGCTTTCTGTATGAAGTAATTTTAAATTCAGCCACTAAAAATGACAGAATTTTTTAAATGACCCACTATGTTAAAAACAACTATAGACTTCCTATTCTTTTTTAACATATACAGGTTAAAATTGGTTTTCATAATACTACATATATTTAACAAGATGCTGATTCAAAATTACAATATATGTTTATTACATATTATGAAATTAACATATTGTTATTAGATAAATTTTTACTGTCTAAAATTTTGTAGAAATAATGAATTATCAATTGCTTTTAATTTTTTTATAGAGCTTTTTATGAATGGTTACATGATGAGGAAAGAAATACCAGAACATCCTTTGTAATAAATAACTCATGGGAAAAAAAATTCAAAATCCATTCTTCTCTAACTCTGACAGGTAGCCGAAGTGGATTTTATAAATCTGAAGGGAAAAGAATATGGCAACTAAAAGCTCAAGGTTTAAAAGTGTGGACAGACATGTACAGCTAGCATAAATATTAAAATTTACGAAAATTAAATTTCAATACAGTACTACAAACAACACATACTACAAGCACAATTTTAATTTAGGTCTTATTCTTATTCCATCACCTCAAAAAGAAAAAAATTGCTGGTAATGATTTTAATCTTTTTTATTCTATATAATATAATAGTTATTCATTCTTTGTAGTTATCACAGTTTATTTCAAAAATCCCTCGCTAAAATATATTAAAGTTTTTTCCGTCATAATATGCATCTGTTTCCCTCTCTCACTTTCTACGCTGCTGGTACTCAAAATGCAATACCATGAATGAAGGATCCAATAATCTTAAAATCTTCCTGTTAGATGACTTAGCATAGACTTTGATGGAATATGCAGATAATTAATATTGCAGTGTATACGCATATCACGTACTCCAGTAATACTATGTAGAAAGACTAAAAAAGAAAGAACTATAAGTTGTTTTAATTACTGGAATTGTATGTTTTGCCAGTGCTCTTTTATGTGGGAAGTTTCAGCATGGCACAACATTCTTTTCAGACAAATCTCATTTTTTCCTTACCATTACGATGGTCTTATCTTAGTCTGGTGACATTTTAATAACAGATATCATGACCCTTGCATTATGAATTATCCTATCAGTCTATCACTAATGGTTATATATAGTTTAGGGTACCATTAGCACTGTTATTCATGCCTAATATACTACATTACAGGCACCCTCAGCAGCAATCACTACATCTTAAAATTTTGTGCCCTGTTGTCTTCCCTCCCTTTCAAGGATAGCCTGCTGCTGAGTTTCAATATGATCACAATATTCAACAGTTTTTCATTGCCTATTAGGTCATTCTGCTGCCTTGGCACAAAAAAAAAAAAAAAAAAAAAAAAAAAAGCACAAAGGCAAAATTACAACAAAAATCTCAAATACTTTTAAGGCCACACAAAGATGCAAAATGTTTACAGTCTGAGAAGATTGATGACAGAATATTTAAATTTAAAAGTAGCTCATCAAGAAGAATCTATTAGGTCAAAAAAAAAAAAAAAAAAAAAAAAAAAAAAAATTCAGAGCATGATTGTAACAAACACTGTTTGAAAATGTATACACAGTGTAATATTAGCATGCAAGCATATACTTGTGAATGTATTGACCTTAGTATTCAAAATAATTTGTGCAAACACATTCTTTCAGCAGTAATGTACAACAGAAGTGAAACAGGTTATTCTGGAGCAATCATTAACTTCTGAAAAGAAGGAGTACAAAATTTAGAAAAACCACACATAAACTTCACTTCTGAGAAATCAACTATCATAATTTTTTTTTAATCACTAGTAAATGAAATCCAAAAATTGGGCAATGAAAATAAAAATTTGCAGACTACATTAACAGACAAAATATTTCAGCAAATCATGCAACATTTAAATGCCGTTCAAAAATTATTACAGTTGTCAGAAAATTACAACACAATAAATCAAAAAATATATATGCACTAAATTTGAATCTACAAGTAAAAGATTATTCTACAAAAAATATTTTTCTCAACAAAAATTTGTAAAAAAATGAAAACTGAACAAACCTACAGCAAATGAAACTGAAAAGTTCACAGATATTTTATTAGGACAGCCTGTCATTAGCAAAGGAAATGATCATGACAATTCAATACAGAAACATCACTAATAAGTGAACTTTATTACTATTTTTGTTTGATAAAGAAATTTAATCATACAAGCTAATCATTACTTTTACTGTTAACTGCTCCTGTAAGTTTCTTTCTTTCTATATTAATAATTTTGAACAAACTATGAGAGATTAAATTATTATTTCAAGTGGCTTTAGAACTTTTAAGATGTTTAAGAGCTAATTTCATCCAGGAAATCTGTTTGCTAAATGAAAGTGTGCTATGATTAAAGAAAACATTTGTAAATAATCAAACTTTTGAAAATAACATCTGACTAATGTAATATGTTTTGTCAATCACATAATAACTAAGATTTTACTTTTTTTTAAAAATTTTTTGCTGTAAATATTATTTGTTGAATATTTTATAGATAATAAAAATATAATGAAAATTTTGTGCATGCGCTTAATGTTGTAGGTAATTTCGAATGCTTCATCCCAGAACTTTAATTCTTCATTCAGATTTGTGAGAAAAAAAAAAAAAAAAAAAAAAAAATAATAATGTGTATCCAACTTTTTATTTATTTCATAGAAGAATTTTATCTTGAATGTTGAATACTTGTAAATGCATTCACAGTCATCTACTTCCTTTTTTTATTAACGAAAAAGCTCATTAAGCTGTTCATTCACACAATGCTCCAAAAACGTCATCCTTATTACAAACAATGCATATTTTCCTATAGCTTTAAAATTAGTTAAATTATTTCCTTATTCAAAATAGTTCCTTATGTTATCTGAAGAACGAAAACAGCAACTTCATATGGCATTGAACTGTATTTCAGAATTAATCACTTATAAAATTTCATTATGCAATAAATCTTTTTTTTTTTTTTTTTTTACTGCAGTTTGATAGTTACTCTGTATAAATTGCATTCATAAACTGGTAGAGTTATTGCTGAAAGAATAATAACTAATTGTACAGATATTTTTTTTTTATATGGCACAGATGCTTGAACAGTGTGATGTCCTATAAATTATTTCATGTATGTTAATATAAAAGTTGACATGTAAAAATATTATTTTTGAAACTCGAATTAAATAATCAATGATTCATCAAACGCCAAAACGCAAAAACAAGCAGCACCAGGAGATACTTTCAGAAGTCATAATAATCTAATATAGTATGGAAAACTTGATATTATAAAAGAAAATAAGATTAAACTATAAAACTATATTCATGTTTACATAGTCATTTACGATTACTCCGCCTATAAATGACGTCATTTTCAAGTCAAACATAATTGGCCAACATCAGAAGGGTACGGCGCGGAGTCTAGCTTCTCGTATTACTTAGCAACTTTATTTTCAAGTTCTACGTTTGCAAACACTTTAACCTGAGGGCAACAGCGGGACTTACATGGCGGTATTTGCGGATTTTCTTGAACTGAGTAACTCATAATTAGTTATGAAATCATAATTGCGAATTTGCTACGCAGGCTGTTTTTAATCTTTACCATATAACATGCCTATGAGTCCTGACAGGCAAGTTTTGGGTAATCCTAAAATTATTATTGTAATCAGTGGTAAACGTAAAAGTGGGAAAGATTACGTTGCAGATATATTATTAGAGAGGTTAGTACGTTTGCATTTACTTTGTGTTTTTAATTTGTCCAACTAGCATTTTTTTTCATAAAATTTATTAATTAAAAATTTCTCATTACAGAGAAGGAAATAATTAAGAGTATCGAATCACCGATTATTTTAAATAAGAGTTCCTCTTATTTTATGAATGTAGTTTAAATTTATTCATTGACTTGTTAACAAACATTTGTAAAAACAACACATTAACAACTATTTAGTTGTATTAGTACTGTCTCATGTTAATTGGTAATGAAAGTTTAGAGCCGTAAACATCCCAAAGTCTGAGCACATGTATGTACATTCGCATAAAAGTGAAACGAAAAAAAATATATGTATGTACAGGGTTTCAAAAGAATAAATAGTAATGTTAAATTAAATTTAAATAATTCTCTTGGGCCATTGCTGCAAGGAATGAAATTTGAATATAACAAACATTCTCTATTCGTAAAAAGCAAATTTAAAGTTAATTAAATGTAAATGAAATTTAATGAAAACAAATAAATGATTAATTATTGCTGTGAACTAATCTACAATATCATTAACTTCTGAGAGCATATGTAAATCAAGTGCAAGTATCAAAATCCATGAATAAATAAATAATTCAAAAAATTTATTTATCCTATTATTCGCTAATGCATTTTTATAAATTTTTTAGGATTAATAAAATTTTCACTTGCACTTGATTTACATATGCTCTCAGAATTTAAATGATATTGTAGATTAGTTCGCAGCAATAATTAATCATTTATTTGTTTTCATTAAATTTAATTAACTTTAAATTTGCTTTTTATGAATAGAGAATGTTTCTTAAATTCAAATATGCTTTAAATACAGGGTATGCTTTAAATTCGTATTATATAATTTTCAAAATTTTTTGCGGGGAAAATTTAAATAAATAAGAGCATAAATAAAATAATATATTTAATGCATATAATAATATAAATAAATTATAAAACACGAATATCGATCAAATTGGAACAAAAAGCTAAGAAAATTTCAGACAGGATGAAAAAAGCGTATGGGATTCGAACAAAAGTTAAATTTTCTTACCGTCAGCTTTACCACTAAGCTAGCATCACACGGGAGTCGGGAGTCGTATGCATATTTTGGCTTATATACATCATCAAGTAAATCAATTCTTAAAACTAAATTTTTTGGTCCTATTTCAGTGTGCTATCATCTAAAAAATTCACCAGAGTTTGTTCTTCAGCTTCTAGTACATTTTTTACAAAAAACGTTATCTTTTAAAGTGGTGTTCCGATTGAAGTTAAACGTGCTGCTAAAAATATATTTCATGTGCTTATAAATATATTTATGAATAGAGAAATACAAATTTAACATACACTTTAATGCAGTGGAATATTTAAAAGGCTATCAAATTTAATTTATAATTAATGTTTTCAGTTTTTACCTGTTTCAAAAGAAAAAAATAAGAAATCTTTTAATCATATCTGATTTGCTATAACAGTTTGATATAGTCAGACATTCATTTTCATTAAAGGTAAATGAGTATGCAGAACTAGGAAATAATTGTAAGGACAAATTTTGTTTTTTCATGGACTTGGAATTATAATCTTTGCTACTGATTTTCTTGAATTGAATTCCTGAACGCCTGATTTTATCTGCAAACAAGTACTGTAGTTGCAGTAATCTTATTTTTCTTATCTTTTTTAAGCTAAATTTAGCTGATTGCTGACTTTTTCAGCATGCAGATTTCTCGATATAATGTTAATTCAGAAATAAGTATTTTTTAGCAAAACTTCCTTTTCCCAAGCGAGCGTTCATCGCTACTTCTGCCGCCATTAATTTTTGGCGACTACACCTGATTGCTCCTTCTTTACCACGTGACCCCAACGCATCCACAGACATATGGATAGAAGTTGGACATTGTTGAACTGCATCCGTACGTCATCCGTCACCGCACATCGACCGGATTGCAGATGTCAAAGAGAATTCGCTCGCTGATTGGAGAAACGCATACGCAGCAGTGGAAACGCGGCTTCAGTTGGGTAAGGGGAAATTGCACACAGTGAGAGAAACTGCATGAAGGTCTCCGTCTCCAAGAGCGATGTAATCATGTCACTTAACTGGTTATTGTTAACGCTGTAGTAGTCTACTTGGTAGGGGGAAGGAAGTCCATTTCAACAAAAATTCATATACATGGGCATTCCAGATGTTTAAAGGGAACAGATTTGAACTCTCTTGATGCAAAAGAATTAAGCAAAGTTCTTCTGCTCTCTAACTATTGAGCATAATTGGACTCTGTAAGAAGAAAGTACTAAAAGTCATTGTTAAAATATGCCCAAAGATTAATTTTATTGATAATTAACTAATAATATATATTTATATCAATACAATTTGAAGACTTATAAAAAAAGTTGCTTTGAATGGATAGTTCCCATTTAATATAAACAAGTCTGCTGCAGACTTATTTATGTTTAACTCATGTTATGTATTTTATGTTTAACTCGTATGTATTTTATAAATCAGAGGTGGAATAAAGAATGTCAGTATAGTATCAGTTTTATTCTACAGGAATTTCGTCACTGAGCATTACATTATTTTTTGCTAAATTTCTTTATTGGTAATCAGTGCCATCCTAACAGCATAACAGCCCCTGGCAAACCAAAATGCCGAGGCCTCTGTCACAATCACTCGCAGAAATTAAATGTAAGTGAAATGCAAATGGATTAGCATAAGGCCTCCAGATGAGTACCAATGAGTCCATTTGTTAAGACGACCATGTTGGTAACTTAAAAGTTATGAAGAAAATGTCTAAAAAAATTTTATGTGTGGTGCAATAAAGTGAGATATTGAAAACCAGTACACGTAATTTTTTGGTAATTTTTATGTTTATTTTATTTTTAATAATACATTTGGTAATAAACTGCTAATGAGAACTTTTGATGACACCAAACTAACACTGATGATATTCTGTAGACCAAGAGATTTTGATTGCCATCTGGGTGTGGCAGTTTGATTCCGGATTTTTTAAAGATAATTATTCTGATTTTTGATAATTTTATTTAACTAGTTTTTCTTGGCAAACATTGACAGATTTAACTCCTCATGTCAATTGTAAATAAATCATATAGTTACTGTAAATGCACCTTTCAAACCATTTTCAAACTCTTAACATTTGCCTTTACTTTCCAGTGTTGCATTTCTGTTACTTCATATATAGATTCATTGCACAGAAATTAAAACGTTCTAAAAAATTAGCTATATTCTGTGGTTCTTGGAGGGAAGGAAGAAGATATCTTCTATTTCATTTTTCGCAAATCTCATTAAAAATAAAATTATAGAACATCTCAAAGCTTATAACAGAAGAATGTTCACTTAGTCAATAAAATATGGCAGAGATTGAGGGAATGATTGTAATAGAGAAGCGGATAACCTGTTAGTAAATGGCAGGTTAAGATACAATAACACGCAGAACAAGTATTAATTTAGAAGTCAAATAACAAAAATCAGCATTATATTTTCAAATTTTCACAGTAAACACAGCCTGTGAAAATTTGAAAATATAACGCTGATTTTTGTTGTTTGACTTCTAAATTAAATGACAGGTTATCATTTTATCTGTGTGCCAGTTAATGTATCTGATGACAGTCAAATATGCAAATATCTATAATTTATGATTAGATAAATTTAGTAATATTTAGACTATTAATGTAGTTCAAAAAAGATATTTCTAATGCTATATATTTTGTACTCAGAGTGGTAGTCAATTTATATTTCTCTTAATATTAGTATTACGGGGTCTGCGAGTGCTGCTCAGTGCTCACAAATTTGAGTAAATTGGAATTTTTGAAATTGTCACACAGGACCTCTTTTGTGATGATGGTAGAGCATTTTACTCCCATGACTTAGCTTGTAGTTCTAACTTCGAGAAAAACTTGTTTACCAAAGGACATGGAACTTGCCATGTCGCACTTCAATTTTTAAGCTCATAGATATTGCCGCAAACCAGCCACAGCTTAAACACCAAAAGCACAAGCCAGTCATGACGCAGTATCAAATATTACATAGGTGTACATTAATGTATATTATCATATAATTTTTTCCAAAACTTTCATAGCATATTTTGATCTGCCCACCAGCGGCCGAGCGGTTAAGTCGCTGAACACTGGTAGTTCGGTCCGAGGTTCGAATCCCGCGAACGGGCTGGCTGCGTGGGTGTTTTCGTGGTTTTCCCCATGTGTAACGTGTATACGAGCCAGTTTCCCTTAGAAAGCCCTGCACGAAGGCATCCCTCCCCTTAGGCAGATAGCCCTAGTGTGCTTTGCCATAATTAAATACACACCTACACACCATATTTTGATAGATTAATGAATGTCATAAATAAATTTAAAATAATTTTTAAGGTTTTTTTTTCTTAAAGGTTCGGATCAGGAAAAGCTGTAATAATTCGACTATCAGGACCTTTAAAAGAAAGATATGCCTTGGTATGTATATTCAGTTTTAAAGTGAATCTTTCCAAAATATAAATATTTACCACAATTTAAATTTGTTTACAATTTTAATATATTCCTTTTAATAATTTTAATGTTTTTGCTTCAGATAATATCTTCAACTAAAAGTGGTCATTTTTATCATTTTTACAAAGATAGATTTCCATTGTGTATGAACATTAGACATTTCTGATAACTTATTTTATGGTTTTGTTATCTATGAATGCAAGTACAGTTAAAAGTTGTTAATCCAGACACCTATAATCCGGACCTCAAAGCTACAAACTTTCTGCACGTGCGTCAATGCATAATGCGTTCACGAATGCGCATAGGCATTTACGCATGTGCATGTGTATGTGCGCATGTGCATAATATGTTTACGCATAATACGTTTACACATGAGTAAACGTATTATGCGCGTTTAATGTATAATGGACGGTGTAAGCTAAGCTAAAATTATCTAATTATCTATTTCAGTTAATGTTGCAGATTGCGTTGTTCCTTAATCTTCGAATTGGATCCGGCGTATTATTTTTTGCAGATTGTTAGAGCAATTTTATAAAAGTAAGCTTGAACTTTCGATTATGTCAAATAGAATTTCCGATATATATTTACTAATATGTAAAGGATCTACAAAGCGAAAGTATGTTTCGATGTCCATCAAACAAAAAGTGGAATTGCTGCAAAAAAATGGATAAAGGCATATCCTTTGTTTCTCTAACCATTCCGAAATCTGTTTATCAATTTCACGCTGCTCTGCGGGGAAGGGGGGGGACGTCGCAGCGCGCAATGAACTGAAAGTTGATCTGTCAGCACTATCCTTATCTTCAGGGCAGATGTTTTTATTTTATTCAGCTTATAATTCCTTACTAAATGTAGTATTTCATCTCTATGTATTCCGTCTTTGATATGATTTAAATCAAATTCCTCGTCATTATAAATATCACGAGTACACATCAAGTAGTTTTTTGGTTGCAATTTTCTAATTTCGACTATGCGTAATGTATGGTTCATGTTCCAGGTTTCACCTGCCCTTGCTTTATGTTTATTGATAGGAGGAGTGAGCTTGGCATTTTTTTGTTCAAACTCTTCAAGTCCAGCCCCATTGTTATTATCACCAGTCTCATTTCATATTCTGCATTTGTTTCTGTATTTTTTTTGTCACATGTTAAAATAATTTTTCAATTAAATACATTGTTCAGAATGGCATTAAATTGTTTATAGATGAATGAGAAACATCATGGTAATCTGCATGAATCTACAGCCAAAAATTCAAGAGAGGCTCTTGTTTAAATTTAGATTTTAATGTCGAATCTCTTGTTAATAATCTTGATATGTTGATAAGTTGTTGTCTTTTCTTCATTGACAAGCTTTCTGATTTCTTGTAGTACTCAAATGTATTTTTTGTACAGTCATACTTGGTTTTTATCTTCTGGGAAATATTCTCTTATATTTTGGTTCAAATGCAAAAGATGTTCCATTGTACAATTTTTAACACTGTCATCAAAATTCAATTCATTTTCAATTAGGAAAACCGTTTTCTTCTGTAAAGCACTCATTTTCTTTGGCATTTGATGACTACATATTGAGTTTTACATCTAATCTGTAATTACTAATCCATATATTTTGTAATTGATAAACATTACTAAACCATTGTGAGTACTTTATAATTTTCTTTTCAAATTTTTGGTTCTCGGAACTCTGGGGTTTGACCCACAGAACGCTAAGGTTCTGCAAGACATAGTTTTGTCATTTTTACATCATTACTTCTCTTGTTCCTTGGAATTTTGTTAATATTCTAATCTACATTTATAAGTAGGTACCCCATGAATTTACTTTTAATCTTTTGTATGCAGAAATGTTATAATAACTTAAAAAAAGTATTTTTATTTTCATGTGCATTTAACTAAAATCATGAAACTTTAAAAAAGTTTTTTAAAAGTATTTTTCATTTAACTGTAGGGGAGATAGATTTTTTCAGAGCTTCCTAAGAAAAATGCCATGTATTATTTATTTTATGCATAAAGAAAACCAAAAGCATAAAAAAAAAAAAAAAAAAACCCATTAAACACTGTATTAGAGCATTGCTGAAACAACCAAAGTGTAATCCAATAAAATTATCTCATTTGAATTTTTAAACTTTTCAGATAATAAAATTTTGTTGCTTTCTGATTATCTACGCACCCACTGAAAAATCGCAAATTCGTTAATGACATTAAAAAGCATTCAGATAACTCAACTAATTTTTTTATTGAAGAAAAGAGCCATTTCCTAAATGGTGGTGCATAACTCCATAAAAATAAATAAATAAAAAATAAAAATGAATCAATAAATAGAAATAAGAAAGCAAGAAACTTCAGTAATAAAACGTAAAGTAAACTTACTTTTTTTGAGAGATCCTTCTGGAATTTTTTTGTGCTTTAACCCATGTACGCAGCAATCTGTGTTCACTTTAAAAAAACAAAAATTACAAAATTGCACAAACTTGGCATCCTTTCAACAATGGCATTGCACACTGGCTAAAACAGAAATACGTTACGGGCATATCCAGATTTCCAAATTGTTATTTGTGTGACATTGTGGGTTGCCACATTATTTTGATGACATATGGCTTTGCTTCATGAATAATTTTCGTAACCTAGAGCAGATGATCAGAAAGTTTAAAAGAAAAAGAAAAAAAATGTCTATGTTTCCTTTAAAAAAAAAACAACTGAATCTTGTTGTGCAGAATATGTAACTGTAGATAGAGAAAATAAAATTGTAAACTATAAATATAAAAGTGTGTACTTTTTCTACAATTCTTTATTTAATTTTTATCAAAATATTTCTTTTTACTTAATGATATTTTATTTTTTAAAATTTATAATTATTTTTATGTGCAGGAAAATAATTTAGACTATGCAAAGTTACTTGAGGCATCTGAATACAAGGAACTATACAGGTTAAAAATGATTAAATGGGGAGAAGACATACGAAGTAAAGATCCTGGATATTTTTGCCGCCATGCTATTGAACAGTCGCAAGCTAAATCAAAGGTTGTGTGGATTGTGAGTGATGCAAGAAGAAAAACTGATGTGGAGTTTTTCCTTTCAAATTTCCCTAACATTACATACACTCTGAGGATAAATGCATCACCTGAAGTCCGAAAGCAACGTGGATGGAAGTACACTGAAGGTTTGTAAAATTTTTAGTTGTCTACGTTTATAAACATACTATATTTCTTTGATTCTAAAGCATATGTTTTAACTTCAGTGACGATAGCAGAAAAAAAAAAAAAAAAAGAAGAAGAAGAAGAATTTGATTATAAAAAATAAATAAATAAAATGAATGAAATCAGAAACCAACTTTGGCGATTTTTGGCGGAACATAGTCACCGAGTTTGTACAGTTCTTTGACTTGTTATTTTGGCTTCATGCCAACAATCGCCACTACACAAAGCCAAAATAACAAGTCAAAGAATTGCACAAACTGTATTCATGTACACACTGACCTGTTTTCACTTAAAAAATATCGGAGAATTGCACAAACTCGCCATTGTGCATGCTCTTGATTTTGTCCATGTATATATTGATCTATTTTCACTTAAAATCTCAAAGGAGGAGCCGATTCTACACTAGAGCCAAGCAAAAATATATATATATAATCTCAACAAATTACATTTTAAACAATGAACTAACATAAAAAAAGAAAATTCATCTTATGGCATCTAAGCACTACACAAAGGAAATATCCACTTACCTTATTTAAAAATTCCCATGTTTTCATTCAAACAAAATTCCTTAAGAGCATCCAAAAACTTCCTAAAATTATCTGAACTAGAATCTGTATACTGGCATCGCAACATAAATTCACAAAAATAAGAGAAAAAAATATCCTGCATAGTGGTGGTATCTTTCAACGTTTGAACCATACGCATTTCCTTCGTACAAACAGGACACTTATAATGATTACTTAGTAAACCTTTTATTCACACCAGTCAATTAATGTTTTTTTTCTCTTTCGTTCCAAACTGTAGAGAAACTTCAAATTAATCATACCACATTTAGCCATTTTACCGTGTAAACCACAAAATAAGCAATGTAGTTCCTTACCAACACACAACCAAGCCCTTACAAATCTTTTCCCATCAGTCAAATTCACCACAATCACGCAACCAATTATGTCATAATAAGGCTTCCATAACATTCAACTACTCATTTTATCATAAATGAAACAAAATTTTAGCAGTAATCCAAGGGGCACACTTAAATATAGGCTAACTGTGAAAAACTGTTCTGAATAAATGCATTTTTTTTGGATAACCCATAATCAGATACATTTTTATAAAAATTATGGAAATAACTCATTTTTAAGTTCTAATTTAATCTGATTTTAAATGCTAAACTATTTAAAAATTTTATTTAAAGGTAATGATAGCTAAATTTTTATTTCAACTATTTTTAAACTATTAAAGTTCTATTAATGAAATTGGAAAAGTGCTTGGTGTAAATTAATGCTAGTGTTGTGTAAACGCATGAGTATCTGCAAAAAGGTGAAAATTATTTTTGAAAAATTTGTAACACACATATAACTGCAAATTCCTAATTTAAGTTATAAAGTCATGAATTAAAATTTCACAATAAATCATAAATAACTGAAAAGTTCTATTAGTTTCAGAAGTCTCTTCTAGATTATAACCAATATTAATGTCAATCCATTGCTAATTTCTTCATAGAATGGTACAATTTTAATTTGAATTATTTCAAAATAAGCATTCAGTTTTCAAGAAATAATAAATATACTGTTGCGCTGTATGTGTTTCTGGATTTGGAGTAATTGATGGTAACACAGGATGAAGAATCAAAACACAATTTATATGCCAGTATTACATGTTTACAGTTGAAAAATTAGGATAAAAGATGCTGAAACAATTAGCAACATAGCCTTCAGGCTATGGCGGTGAAGACAGCTTCACAACAAAGCACTAAAGTATAGGTTCTGACTCGGCCAATCGCTCCAAAGCTAATCTCTGAACTTAAGACACTACTACACTACTGAATTCAAGCTACTACTTTCTCCATGTACACTGCTCAAAAAAAAAAGGGGGGGACAGTGCTATATCTCCCATTCTACTGGGCCGATTGACAAAATTCAAATTGCGTTTTTCATGTCTCGAAAGCGCGACTTAGGATATATATTAGATTTATATATAGCACTATTCTAACATAGGTATTTTGACACAAATCGGACTTTTTCTGAAATAACATACAATTTTTTTCCATATTTCGATTCTACGTCTCAAATTATGCCAGAATACCAAGTTTTGTAAAAATCGTATGAGTGTTTTTAAAATATTAGCTCTCAAAATTTAGCTCCTCAATGTTAATTGAATTTGGCAAATATTTATTAATATCTCTTTTTTTATTAAACTTTTTTTGATTTTTTTCTCTCACATTTCAAAATTTAGGTTCATTCCAAATAAAATTTCCATTTTTTTGTGTTTTATTTTTTAAATTTCTATTTTTAAATAATTTTTATAAATTTTTTGAAAAAATTTTGAATTATAACCTATAAAATTTTTACCATCATCTTAAAGTAGGTATATTTTAAGCATATCTGCAAAAAAATTAGACTTTTTTATTCAAATTTTCTAAGATATACACAAATTTACATATTTTCAAGTTTTGAAATTTGGCATCTTTTTTTTGAGCGATAATAACGCCAAATGTGGTCTATGGATTTTTTGTTACAGTGAATTGCCACAGCTATTTTTAACCTTAAATTTCAAGAAGATTTTAATTTTACGAGAATTAATTAATAACATTTTTTTTTCCCTCAATGAAGCGTAATAAATATTTATTAATACTATATGAAACGCTATTTTTTTTAAATTATAGATTATATATCAAATTTTTTAACTATTTTTTAAAATTTCTCTCTATCTTCCTTTTTTAAAAAAAATAAGAGTAAATTTTTACCTTCGGTGTTTTATCGTCTGCTACTTTACTTCGTTTAAATCGAATTGTCTAAAACTGAGAATTTTTGTTTGATATTTATTTGAATTTTATGACATTAACTGCATAATTTATTTCTAAACAAACTGTTGCTTTTGAAGTGGCTGAAAGAGCGGCTGATACTATCATCCACATTTTTAAAGCACAGTATATTTTTATAGAAACATAATATTTAGAGTAATCATTTTTATAAAAGTCAAATTATGATATAAACATACGGCCCTCTAGAGACTGAATTAATGGAAGTTCAATGGTTATGTAGAAATGATCTGCAACTATGTGAAAATGGACAGACGCTGGCTGTTTTACTTCGGTGTTTAATGTCTGGAAAGCCTTTTTTTCTTTTGAAATTTCACATGATTTAAATGGAGGTGTTTCATATTTAAGATAAATAAAATGACTCTTTTTATAATTTTAGATCGGAATTTTCTGTCTTCCATTCATTTGACTTTTCTACCATGATTTGCAGTTTTTATATGCTCAATTATTTGGAACTCTTCCGTTTCCAGAATTCGGCATTTGCTGAGCTTTCCAGATAGTTGAGTTTTCAGTGTAACTAAAAGAATCAGATAAAATATTGCTAGTAATTTAACCCAGGGTCTAATCCCACTGAGGAAAGATAGCTGTATAACTCTTTTCATGGTTTTTTCTACACATAATAAAAAAGCCAGTTGGCCTTGGAAAGTCCTACATTGAAGGTATTCCTTTTATCAAGGAAACAATCTTTTTTATACTATGTTCAACCTTAAACAATTTACATAAAAAAAATCTAATTCTTTAACAGCTAATTGCTATTTGCAAATTGAAATGAACATATATTATTCTGGCTAATAAATAATATTCTCTTTCCTTCACATAAATAAAGGTGCTTGTGTATTATTCCACTGACTGTGAAAGTTGATGGATATCCCACCAGAGTTTTGCTAATCATTCCTAAGTAATTTTGAGCCTTATTTCTATTTTCAACTTTTACGATAAAACATTAGTTAGTCTGTCTTCACAATCCATTAAATAGTCACTGCTGCATATGTATTCGCACATTCTTTTTTGCGCTTTGTAATAAATTCATTCTTCATAATAAACACATTGATTTCTACTATTTTGTGAGGCTGTCCAATTTTACTTTAAGCTCTGTTTAGAACAAGCACTGTTGGTACAAACTTCCCACAGGTGATTTTTCCAATCTATTATTATTTTATCGGCTATATCCAGCTGTTTTTTTACCTTTCAACAGATATTCTTTCTACCAGCCGTAAATGAATTAGAATGCAGTCCCAAATGTCCCTCGGACATTTTTTGCAAAATGCAAGAAACGACAACAGTAACAGTTAATTTATATTCTTATTCATAAAAACAAAAGGTGGCTTATTTAGAATTAATTGGATTGGGAGTACATCAAATGAAAGTGCAGTTGTTACAAGTGTGTTCTGGTGTCTTGCTTATCCATAACTGGCACTAAATCGTGCTGCTTCATGACAGTTTTATGGTTGACTGGATAACTCATGTGTACATAAGTAAAGAAATAAAAGTTATTTGGTTTATTTTATTTACACATACTTGAAAGATTCTAAAGAAAATTATGATCCTCCTTCATATTCCCAAAGAATCATTGTGATTGATTACTTGGAGAAAGGGAAAATAGTAGCAGGAGATTGGTAGAAAGATTTTTTTATAATGCTTTGCATTTTTAAAATTAAAAAAGAAGTTTTGAAATATTTAATACTGAAGTCTTGTTTGAAATGTAAATCAGTGTCTAGTTTTAGTCTGCTTTTATTTATTTATTTATTTAATTTTGTGTGTGGGAAGCGGATGGAGATTAATTATCTAAGCATGAGCATTAGCTTTCAGAAGAATGTTAATTAAATGCTTAATTTTAAAATCACTAAACAACCTTTTTTATTGCATAAAACTAAAAACAATTAATTCCATAAATGACATCATTAACATTTGTACTGCAAGATAACAATATTGATCACTTAACAATTTTAAGGTATGACATTAGAATTCCCCCCTCCCCAGAATGCCCTTATTTCCATCACAAAGACTTGCAGTATATAGATACAGATTTGATACCAGTATTATTCCTATATACAAATTGTAAATATGCAACAAGCAGCAACAAAATAGTTTGTATAAAAATAGGGGAGCACTTTTAAAAATCTCAGCTTGGCAATAGAGCCACCAATACATTCCACGCCAATCATAAGCTCGAGCATTAGCTTTCAGAAGAGTTCTGAAATGAAAAATACATACACAAGAGACTTGCAGTATTGAAAATTGGTATTTTTTTAAGTGATTTTTTTTAATTGAAAAGGAACAGTTTAATTTTATTGCATATTGGCAGACATGAAATTTTATATGGATTTTTTTTTAGGGAAGAACCTGCATCAAAAGATATGACAGTTTTTATCTGAATTTAGATGACGGTAGTATTAAGAGTGATCTCTATTTCCATGCATATGTGTCCATGGGATTGGTGTATTGATAAAATTATGATTATTAATATAATTTCTCAATACCTTCTTTCTTTCATTTTTAGGTGTTGATGATTGTGAATCTGAATGCGGACTTGATGACTTCACCAAATGGAATTATCGGATAGATAATGATAATTCTAGTCAGTTGTTAGAAGAGATTAATAAAATTCTTTTTGATATTAAAATAAAATTATGTGAAATTGTATGTTAATGAAAAATTTGTAGAAAAAATTTATTTTCTTTACAGCATTTATTTTCTTTACAGCATATGTTGCGCATGAAGTTTATATATATACATTTTGAAATTTTTCTATAAAGGCAGCTAATTTTGCAAATATTTTGCCTGGAATGCTTATAGGCAGTAGCATTTGTTGTTAAGATGTATATAATTAGTTTTATAAACTATAGAAAAGGATTGTTTAAAGAAATATTTCTTTTATTATAATTATATTCTTTGTTAAAAATTATATAAATGTAAATGGATACATTTTTGTGTAAATGTTAACAAGGAATTTAGTAGCCCCTCAAATGAGATAATTACTCTTTTATTGTTTTCATGTAAAACCTTGGTGACTCAACACCTCAAGGCACAACAAGGAAATGCCAGCTTAACTTATCTGTTAACACGTTCAGCGCGGCGCCGAATTTGGTCCTTTCCATTCAGCCAACAGCGAGCTAAGCCGTATTTTTGTTTAGAATGTTTCAATAAATTTCATTAAAACTAAAATTGATCACATTTCATTGAGACTATATTTATTTTTTAACTTTAATACTGTCGGTCCCGTGGGCTGACGCCAGCCAAACGAAAATTCCAGTGCCAGCCCCCAGGGACCGACGCTGCTCACACGAAAAGTTCACTGCCGATCCCCAGGGACCGATGTCGGCCACACAGAAAGTTCACTGCCTGTCCCCACGCACTGGTGCCGCGCTCAACGTGTTAAGTTGAATCTGAGGATGTGGATAATCAGAAAGTACAAACAATTAATTAATTCATACTTTTAACACATTTGTTTTTAGCAGTTCAACTTCCTTCTGTAGAACTTAAAGCATTAAATTGAATACAAAAATCAAATTTGAATTGATTTGCTTTAATATTAGTTAATTTCAGGTTGCATATTTACATCTGAAACGCCAGGTATTCTGCTAAATTATGATGATAACAGTGAAACTATGCAGAGGTAGAAAATGAAAAATAAATGGCACAATTATTTAATTTTTCTTATGTTTCAAAAATAATTTCATTTTTATTCTTATTGCTTATAAAAATTCATAAATTCACTATGAGAATGAAATTATTTAAAAATTAATTTCAATTTAATGATATATTAATTGTCACACTTAAAACTAAACAAAATGTAATTTGTGGAATTATTACTTTTGTGGTCTTTAACTACCAGCTCTGAAAAATATTAGCAGCATTCTAAAGTTTTATGAGAGAAAGGGGGCCACACAGGAATAATTTTTAAAGCATTTAAGTAATACTTCCGAAGTACAATTAAAGAATAAATTTAAAGAAGAATGCCTTGTTTAAAAACCACTCCCCCTATTTTAATATTTGTAAAATGTAAAAAGAATTATTGCATAAATAAATTGAGATTAAATGTGATAGGAATAGATGTTGTTGTTAAATTATTAAAATGTTTTTGGATTATTGTTAACCTTTTTTAAAAAAATTGCCTTATAAAACTGTGCCAATACAATATGTATAGTGCCAATACAGTATTATACATGCAGCAGATATTTTATTTTAGTATTTCATAATTAGTTTACATTAAAATAATATTTTCATGTATATAAAATGCTGTACTCTAAAAGCAATAATCAAATTAGTAATAATCATTTCCCCCTATTTATTGTATGATAATAAATGTTTATTATTATTTCTTATATTATTATTAAGGTATTAAATGAGATTATATTATGAAGATATAGTTGGTAAGTTATTAAACCTTACAGGGAATTTCAGGTTTAATTTATGCTATATTTATTACGATACTGAAGAATAAGCAAACAAAATGTTCACTTTTGTGCAATACTGCTTCATTTAACAACTAAAATATTGCTATTTTAGAAGTTAAATAATTTTGTTTCAAAATGAAAGCCAAAGATACTGTATTAGAAAGGCCAAAGGAAAACTTACTTTATGATCCTATGCTTTCACCAATATGTAATTAATTATATCTGCTTTTTAATTATTTTATTTACTTTCCTAATTTGAATTGTTTTGATACAAAAATGTTTTTATTTTCCCTTTTTCTTTATATGTATAATCACCATGTTTGTAGCTTCGTCCTCTGTATTAAATTTTTAAGTGCAATTTTTCAATATGAATTTGCATGCTTTGTTTTAGATGCATTCATTTAAAAATGGGGGGGGGGGATCTTTTACTTTCAGTTATATTATTTTTCAGGCAGTAATGTGGTACATCTGTTTTTCAGTATTTTAAGCAGTAAATTATAAAAGCCTTGTAAGTTTTAGCACCAGAGCTGCTATTAATCTCAATCTTGTGACCGTATCACTTTTCAACTAAAAGGATGTACTGCCACACTTTATCGACATTTAAAGAAATAACACATCAAATATAAAAATATATGGCAACACTTCTTAATACTCTATCAGGAAATTTTGAAGATATGCTGTTTTTTAATATTTGGGATTTTGCTGTTGAATTTTATGTCTGAAAAAAGTGAAAAAAGTCTGAAAATTTAAGTCTGAAAAAAGTGAAACAAAAAGCCAATAATAATAATATTTAAAAAAAAAAAAAAAAAAAGAAGAAGAAGAGGAAGGAGGAATATTTATGTGATGAATTAATTGAGAAAAGGCTGAAAAAAATTTATTTTAACACTTAACACTGTGTCAGGAAGTCTAAATGTATGCTGCTTTTAAAAAATTTTGTTATTTTGCTGTTGAATTTTATGCAGTGTAAGTGTGGAAGTGATGTTTAATAATAAGATTAAAAAGACGTTATATATATATAGGTCAATTGTTAAGAAAAACACTGATATAATGAATTGAGAAAAGACTGAAAAAATATGTAGCAATTCTGAACACTATTGGGAATTCTAAAAATATGCTTTTAAAATTTTATGACTTTTCTGTTGAATTTAATGAAGCATAAGTGCAAAGAAACTAATGATTAGTAATAAATTTTTTTAAAAAGTTCCATAGGTCATCTTATTAAGGAATCTTGATATGATGAATTAAGAAAAGATTGAAAGAAATAGGAAAATGTGTGGCAATATTTAATATTCTATTGGGAATTCTATACATATGCCACATTTAAAAATTTCGTGGTTTTACTGTTGAATTTTATGTGGCATAAGTGCAAAGAAAGAGATGTTTAGTAATGAAATTGTGTTAGCAGAAGTGAATTCAAGAGCAAATTCTTAAACTAGGAGCTCAGCAAGAGCATAAAAACCTTAACAAACCCTCTGGTGTAATGTTAAAACCTGAATCTTTTCAGAATTATTTTTTTCTAGACTGCTATTACTAGTGTTTGTTATAGTCTAGTAACATACTAATAATAAGTTTGCAGAGGAAGAGTTTGTCATTGCTTATAAAATAAGTTGTCTTGCAAGAATTATTCCCTTAAATTAATATACACTCACTTCCAAAAGTTAAGCACGAAGATGTAAAATGCATTAATAGGGTATGTGATCCCCCCTCATCTGTATACAAAGTTTACACCTTGTGACCATGCTTTCAATTAGGTGGTCAACCACCGCAGAATTAAGCAATCGCCATTCTTCTTGTAGAGCAGTTTCCAACTCAATAAGAGTGGTTGGAGGTGGGAAACGTGAAGATACAGCACGGCCGAGAGCATCCCAAAGATTTTCAATGGGATTAAGGTCGGGCGAATTTGCTGGCTACGCCATACGCGCAATCCCTTCACTCTCCAGGTAGTCATCGACGATGTCTGCTGTATGAGGACGTGTGTTATCGTCCATTAAAACAAAAGTAGGGCCAACTGCTGCAGCGTACAATCTCACAATGGGTTCTAGGATTTCATCTCGATATTGGACAGCCATCAAAGAAAACCCATTTAAAGATGTGCAGGTCAGTGCGGTATCCTAACATAATCCCTGCCCACACCATAATGCTTCCGCCTCGGAATGCCAAATGTTCGGTGATGTTTTGGGACTGATTGCATGTTCGTTGTTCACGTCATATCCTTATACACTTGTCATCTGGCTACAGAGCAAATCTTGACTCGTCAGTTAACATGACATTGCTCAAGTCAGACACATTCCAATTGACATGTTCTCGGCACCACCGTAATCCCGTTCTCGGCACCCTCTTGATTGGACGAATAGAACACAAACTCGAGGTACCCTGGCATACAGTCCACTCATATGTAATCTTCGGTGTACAGTAGCTGCAGATATCGCCTTACCAATGGACGCTGTAACCATAGATGTCACACGTGTTGAGGTCGCTCTGTGATTCCGCTTGGCTACAATAGCAATATATCGACCTTCCGTGGGGGTTGTAACCCTTGGGCGACCGGCTACGGGCCTTCGGACAACTGTCTGTGTGGTTTGGAATTGTGTCTGTAAACGTGAAATTACAGAATGATGAACGCCAAAGAAAAAGAGCAACGTCTGTGATCGACTGTCCTGCTTCAATGTGCCCCACAGCATGCCAGTCCTCAGAATCTTCCATTTGTCTTCTGGAAGTCATAGAAACCCGTATGTCTTGAAAAAAAATTGTACAAAAGTTTTAAACACCTTCTATCGGCACTTACAATCAACTTCTGTAACCCTTCGTAAAGCTGGCTTCTTATAAGCCTGCCTTTTTTGCATATTTCTTGACATGAAAGCATGATTGGCTGTTACCTAACATATTTGCATACTTCCATCTACCTCTGCAGCGAATTGCATCCTCTTCAATTCTGATTGGCTTCCGGAAATTTAGCATTTTCCTCTCTGTGCTTAACTTTTGGAAGTGATTGTAAATGTTAGTGAAAACTGCATAGTACTTTTTTTTTTTTTTACCTGTAATCTGAGAATATAAAAGAAACATATTCCTAATTTCCAGTACTTTGCGTACATAAACATTTATTTATTGTGTTTAAATTTATAAAAATAAGCGACGTATATAAATGTCTAATTGCTTTATTTGCACTGTAAGATTGTCTTAAAAGCTATTTGTGATTTTGGCTGTAAGACACATTTAATCCATTTTAATATAAACTCACATAATTTATGTGTTCGTAATGTTAGTATAAAGCTTTATATAGAGTTTTGATATATATTGAATGATGAACATATATCAATGTATCATATGTAATGTTATAACAAATATCAATGTAGAGAAGTATAAAACTATATTCTTTGATTGAAAGATGTATTTGTTATCAAGAATATTTTATTATATAAGTTTAAATAAATATACATACATATTTTGTTGAATAAATGACTTATATCGCATGTTAAAATAAAGCTTCATTTTAGAGAGAAAAAAAAATGTCTTTGTCATGCTATTTAAAAGCAATTGGAACAGACGATTCTCTTTACTAGGTCCTTTTTTTCACCTTAGCATTCAATTTTTAATTGAAACAAAACGCACAAGTATGTAAAAATAAATGCAAGAAAATGTTTCCTTTTTTGAATCATATGCTTAGTAAAGATTTCAGTTTGGCTACTTTGATTGATACCTTTACCTACCTACATATCTTAATTTTATTTAAGTTGAATTTTGCATATGTTTTAGCTTTTGCAGTGTGCATTTTCCCTCTTAAATAATCTAATCACCACTGTAATCAATGCACTTGTTTTAGATTGAAATACTGAGCTGTGATGATCAGTATTTCAATCTACAGGTGATTAGATAAAACAAGTACATTATAAGTAAACCTATTACTTACTCCGCTTAAATTCTCTGACTGAATATTTTTAGTCGGAATAATTCTAAACATATATGTATAAAATGTTAGCACAGGCCCAGCTTGTGTAATAATTGTTAGATCCATTATTGCAGGTTCACTTGAAGTGCTACAACTTTTAAACAGAACCATTTCATGAAAAAATTTGCAAAGGGAATTTAAAAGAAATTTTTAAAAAAGCTAATATTCTTTGATGGGGGTAAAAGCATCGTATGGTTTCATTTATTTCATGTACTTAGATGGGAAAATTCCATATATTTGATATTTTGAAGTAGAAAAAAATGAGGGATTTCTTACACTTATTTCCCATATCCTACTAGAAACAAAATATATAGTGTTTTCTTTTATTGCCATTTAGGTGGATAAAGTAATTCTATGTTATATATTCAAATGAATCAAATTAATAACGACGTGCCTAACCAAACTGTAACGTGAACTGCACAGATCCTTAAACTGGCTCCAAAAATTGCATCATATATTTATTTATTTAGAACTTTGCTATATGCATCATCTATCATTATAGGCAAATTTTCAATTAGTTTAATCCTTTTTCCTGAAGAAAATTTTAGAAATTTGTCCTTTTTACTGCTTTTGGTTAATCCATTCTTTTTTATACTGCAGATAATCTTTGAAATATTTAATAGCTTATTTATTGCTTTATTTCGTAACTTTAATACAGCTTAAATTCATTGAATACATTCTTGACGAAAACTTATTTTTAAAACACTGAAATTTAAATATATTATCTAAATTTGGTCACTGATTGAATTAAGCTATATTGATGGAAGGTAGGATGAATCGTATTTAAGTTCACTATTTCTGTGATTTAATAAGTCAAAAAATGACTATGATGTATTTCTGCGATTAAATAAGTAAAAAAAAATTTGATCTACCAATGGCTAAAACAGTAAAACTACCAATTTACTCTGGATTCAGCTCAATAATAGTCACTAGGATTCCTTTTCATGCATAATGTAATACGGTTTTCCATTAAAAGCACAGCATCCATATATTTACCGTAATTTACAAGCTGTATCCTTCTAAAAGCTATTCGGATTTAAGCCATTTTTACTTGATATATCGACTACATAAACAGTGTTAGACTCTTTGACATCATTTAAGTATAATTTTATTTTTTCTATTTTTATAAGTGTTATTCCACAAGTATTAATAACTAAGATACTGGATATTTATAAAGAACAGCAAAACCATTGCAAAGAATATGTTCATATTTTATCAACAATCTTGTTGCCATTGATAGGTATCAGAAGAGGTAGAAGCATATTACCCAATTTTTATGATAGCAATTAACATTTGAAAAAAAATGCTCTAAAAATACTACATGTTTGGATATAAATAGATGATGCATTTAACCGCAAGTTTACACAGGTGAATGCCAGTGTTACATGTTTGGATATACTTGGATCATACAGAAATGATTGACACGACGGCTCTCACAACGAAACTGTTACACTATGCAATAAGTAACGGAGAAAGCAAGTGAAATACACACAAGGGGGCGTGAACTACTCACAATGCATAGATGGCACTGGCCACAAGCGAGTGGTGTAAGTCAGCATCCGTCCCTTTCGCCGTCGTCATTGAGAACATGGACAGCATCATTCCTATGGAGTGAGTGAGTGAGGTTTTTGACGCAAAACCAAAGATGGTTATGACGCGCCAAACACAGGATGGGATGATTACAAATGACGAAATTAAAATACAATAAATAAAAACAAGTGGACAAATGTACCAAATCCAGAGGATGAAGTCATATAAAAACAAGATAAAAGCACATAATAAAATCCAAGACACAATCTTCAAAATATATTACATTGGGTAGCAAAATCCAGTTTCTTTTAAATAATAAAATAAATTACAATTAGTCTCTCTTCCGATTAAACGGCCGAGAGGTAAGTCACAGCTATTAAAATGTTTCTGACGAAGATTATTAAAATATGACGGACAGATAGACAAACATTACAATTTGAACAAACAGGCTCATTCTCGGCTTTTAAAAAGTAGCTATGTGTCATTCTAGTGTGACCAATTCTGAGGCGAGTCAAAAGAACTTCTTCTTTACGATTTCCAGCAAAATCCCAATGCTCAATTCTAGGCTTTACATGTCTCAACTTGTTTTGAAGCTG